AAAACTAAAATTTCAATTGCAACCAAAATTGTTTGTATGTCAGGCTGGTTGTAATGCAAGAGTCCACTATATCTCCTGTTTTCCTCTGGTAGCTTTACAGTTTCAAGTCTTACCTTTAATCTATTTTTAGTTCATTTGTATGTGGTGTGAGATAAGGGCCCAATTTAATTATTTTTTCAGATTAATATTTGGAATGTCTTTACTGTACTTGTCCTACCCACAGTGGCAAAGCACTCTTTTCTAACATACATTTGGCTCGACAGCATGGATCTTTATATTACATGGCAAAAATAAAACAGTAATTATTTGCCCAATACACTGAATATTTGGCATGCATTTTGACAGTTTAAAACTACATAAGCTGAAAATTTTAGATTTAGCTTACAAATCTGTTTTGCATTTAGGTTTATTACAATTTTAGAATTCATGTTTTTAACTAGCTTTAATCAAATCTTTTATGCAATTACCTCCTACGCTTTTCACATTTTCTGTTGGCTGCAGTAAATCATTCAGCAAAATTTTCAGAGAACATTCTTAGTTAATGTATTTTCTCAACCCCTTGGTATCTGATAGTCTTCCAGCTGTTTTCATACACAAATACTAATTTGGCAGGGTATACACAGTAATTCTTGGATCAAGATGTAGTTCCACTGTCTTCTGGCATTTAGAATTGCAAGAGAAAAATCTGAGGTCACTCTGATTTTGCCCCTTTATAGGTAACCTTTCTCTGCCTGCATACTTGCAAAATTTTTTCTTTATCCTTGAAATTTTAAAAAGTCACTAGAATATGTCTGGGTGTTGCTTTCTTCTCATTAAATTTTAAAGGTACCCCATGAGCCTTCTTCATTTGCAGGCCTATTTTGTTCTTCAACTCTGAAAAGTTTTCTTCAATTAGTTCTTTAATTATTGTTTCAGCTTCATTTGCCTTGCCCTCTGTTTTAGGTATTCTTATTACACATAAATTTTATCTTCTGGACAGGCCCTCTACATCTCTCTTTTTCTTTTTTCTTATCTTAATTTCTTTGGCTTTTTTCCTCTACATTCTGTGAGAATGTCTCGTTTTACATTTAATTCAGTGATTTTATTTGTGACCAACACTGCTTATGTGCTTCCTTTAAGTGGAAGGCCATGATCTCTTCCATGTGGTCACACACTACCTGCTTTATAATTAAGCCCAAATGGGTAACTCTCTCAAAAGATGTTCAAAGGCTATACTTTCAGGGATCATTTCTATAGTTGGTTAAAAGACATTCAAGCTGGGGATGTAGCTCAGCGGTACAGTGTCTGCCTTGTAAGCTCGAGGCCCTGAGTTCGATTCCTGGTACCAAAAATAAATAAGATGTTCAACAGATTCTAGATAATCACTGTAGACTGGTATATTGGTATCAAGAGAAGGCATTTTCTTGATTTCTTAGCTCTGCTCTTTTTTTCTAAACTGTGGTCTTGTGACCTTCTCAACAGCTGTTCACAATGGGGTCCAAAAATGCAGTCTTCCCAAGCACTGAAATTGAAGAACCCCAATTTAATTCTTCTCCATATGAATATCCAGATTTCCCAGCACCATTTCTTGAACAGACTCTCCTTTCCCCATTGTGCATTCATAGCACTTCTGTTAAAAATCAACTGACCATAAATTCTTTGCTTTAGGTTTTCTGTTCTATTTCATTAGTTGATGTGTCTGTTTTTATGCCAGCACCATGTTGTTCTAACTACAGTAGCTTTATAATATATTTTGAAATCAGGTAATGTAATGCCTCCATCTTTGTTCTTTTTCCTCAAGATTACTATGGCTATTGGACATCTTTTGTGATTCCATACAAATTTTAGGAATACATTTTCTCTGTGAAAAGTGACTTTGGAATTTGGATAGAAATTGCATGGAATCTGCAAGTTACTTTGGATAATATCAATATTTTAACAATATTAACTCTCCAATCCATAAATATGGGATATTTTTCCATTTGTTTGTGTCTTATTTTTCATCAATGTTTTATAGTTTTCAGGGCACAGATCTCTCATGTACTTGGCTAAATTTACTCCTAAATGTTTTATTTTTTGATACCATGACACATTTTTAAGTTTCTTTTTTGGAGAGTTTGTTACTAAGTATTTAGACATGTTACTGGTTTTTTCTGTTGATTCTATAAACTGCAACATTACTGAATTTGCCTATCAGTTCTAACGGCTTTTCAGTAGTATCTTTTTTTTTTTTGGGTACCAGGGATCAAACTCAGGAACTTGCGCTTGCAAGGCAGGCACGGGAACCACTGAGCTAAATCCCTGGCCCTTTCAGTAGTATCTTTAAAATTTTCTATATCTAAGATGTCATCAGCAAATGCAAACCAAAAGAGAAAGATGTAGCTATACTTATTAGATAAAACAGACTTTAAATCAAGAATTGTACAAAGGAGACAAAGAAAGTCTTTATATTTAATGGTAAAAAAGCCAATTAATCATGAAGTTATAACAACTGAAAATATATAGGCACTCGATAACAGATCACATGTTATGGGTTATATTAGATGTCCCCTCAAAGCCTCATGTGTGCATACTTAGGTGGGGCTTATGGGGCTTATGGATTATGTGTGTATGATATTGGATTAAGGGTGAGATAAATGGATTAGTCCTCTGATTGGTTTAGCATGGTTCTGGGTGTAGATAACGGGAAGACCCACTCTGAGTCTGGGTAGCACTATCCCTTTTTCTGGTAAATTGCTCCATTTTTATTATATTTTTCTCTAGAATAACTGGCTTTGTCTGTTATACAGTATCTTGTGTCATCAGATATCTTTTCTCTTTTTCTTTTTCTAGATTAACTAGGTAAAATATCTATCCTCATACTTTCAAATTTTGAAGCATTTTTAAGTTTATCTCCAATAAGTAACATGTATGGTTTTTCTTTTTTCAGCTTAAGTCTTTCACAGGAGGAATTAAGTTCATTTATATTGTGACTGGTGTCATTTTTGCATTTGTTTATAGCATTTTACTAAGTATTTTTCTTCATGCTTTATTTATATTGATATTTTATTCTTATTTTCTGTATAATTTGACTGTCTTAAACTCTACTATTTTATTCATAATCTAGATATCTCAATGCAACTATTTATACTAAGATAATATAATTAATTCTATATCTCAGTTGTTCCTGAATAAACTTATACCCTGTTCAAACACATATGCAACATTTGTCTAATATTAGTTCTTCCATATTTTGCAAGGTATACATATTCATCACTGTTTTTCAAAAAGTTAACAAGTGATTAGATTTGCCTGTGTATTCATTTTAACTTGCACTGCATATCTTTAGATAGAATATTAATTTTTTTTCATTTTGTTTACTAATTTGTACCAAGAGTCTAGAGTTGTATCTCAGGCAATATTTGTTAAAGAAATGTATTTATGAATATTTCCTTCTCTTCTAAAGCACATCCCTGAGATTCCTTTATCAAGAATCATTGAGGGATAAATTCTTAGTTATTGTTTGTCACATATTATTTTTATGTCACTATCACTCTTGAAAAATAAAAAAAAATTTAGTTTGAAGAGAGTATAAAAGTTTATTCAGGAACAAGCTGAGGTATAGAATTAATTATACTCTCTTGGTTTGAGTAGTTGCATTAAAATATCTAGATTCTGAATAAAATAATAGACACACAGCTTTATAACTTTCAAATTATAGAGAAAAATAAGGAAGGATAAAATATCAACATAAATGCTGTCAAATATATTTTCTTTTTTCAACTTGAAAATTCTATTAACTTATCTTTCTAATTGACAATATCACTTTTGCAGGCATTCTGTTTTCTAAGTTTTGATCATTATTATTAGTCTGTAAGTGCCATTTTACTCATTTTTCCTTTATTTCTTTCTCACTTTTTAAATGAATTTCATTATGATGTAATTGACTATGATTTGTTTTTTTATTTTTAGCTTTTGGTGCACTGCACTTATGGAATCTTTCCTTTAATCAAATTTACAGGTTAAAAGAAATCGGGTGAATGTTCTGGTACAGTGTAACTTTAAATCCTGAGTAAAGAATGTCCTGAGACAGCACAAGAAAGAAAGCCCAGATATCATTTACACAGTGGCTGTAAGAACCTTCTTTGGTATTACTAAATGTGGCATGGAATCTGCTTATTTCAAAGAAGAAAAATATCTCCATACAAGATTATTTGAAAAATTGATCCAAGCAGGATACCATGTAGTAGTACTCAATCTTCAGAGCTGGTGGTCTGAACTTGAAATTTTCCAGTTATTCTACATCAAGTCCTGAACTACTGGTTAGTGTGAAGTAGGAAGGAGCAGGATGTCTGCTGTGGCCAGAAGCAGTGAGGCTGTCACTAGCAGGCTGGGGACCTGAGAAGCCCTGTAGATGGGATGAGGCAGCTGCACTAGGGACCTCAGATGTTGACACCTAGAGAAGACACGTGTCCAGGGCACTCATGAGCCAACATGAATTGACCTTAGCTGGTGATTAGACGGATGCTCATCCCCTGCTAATCTCTCTCTCTCTCTCACTTTAGTATTTTATAACTCTTGATTAACTCCACATCCAGCTCCAATTAAAAAGTAACACGGGGATGAAGGGAGAAAGACTTGAATGGACTGAAAATACACTTTAGATACCCCATTAGCAGGGGATGTAAAAGAGAAAAGATAGTCACTTGTATAAAAATGAAGATATATCTTACCCCCCCAAAAAATTTCAGCTATTATTAGTTCAGTTTTTTACTGCAGATCTCGTACATTGCCTCCTATCTGTGATAGTTTTCAAAATTGTCACTGAACATGTTAGTGCTTAGTCAGGTGACATGGTAATCAGCAGAAAGGAAATGACAGGCATAGTCAAATGTTAGAAATTTTAAATATTATATAACACCAACATAATGATTTAAAAAATTTATATAAAGTAATAATATCTGACCAGGAAAAGACAAGCAACTGTTCTGTCAGAAAGTGTCCTCAAATGAATAGCAAGTATAAACCCCTAGAACTTTAAATTATATTTAGATTTATACTTTATTCACCTCCTTCAAAGGGATTGAATTTTTCATAAAGAAATATGATTCTCTTAGATGACAAGGTAATCTTATCTCTTCATAGATCTATTTTTGACAACTATAACAGCATAAAGTGTATATATAACTAAAGGGTTACAAAATGACTGTGCAGATGTCATTAAATATGGCATTAAGATGGAGCAATTACCCTGGATTACCCAAATGAGCCTAAAGTAATCACACAAGTAATTACTAGTGGAGAATTTTTCCCTGCTTTTGCCAAAAGGTTTAGAAAGATGTACACAAGAAGGAATTGATCTTTCATTGCTGGTTCTGAAGACACGAAAGAGGGTCACAGCCAAGGAATGCAGGAAACCTAGAAGCTGAAAAGAGCAAGAAAAAAAAATATTCTCACAAAATGAACACAAGCTGCTAAAACTTTTATCTTCTTTTTTTTTTTGGTACCAGGGATCGAACTCAGGTCCTTGGGCTTGCACAGCAGGTGGCAAAACCACTGAGCTAAATCCCCGGCCCTAAAACTTTTATCTTAATCCAGCAAGACCAGGTGAGACTTCTGACCTATAGAACTATAAAGCAATAAATTTATGTTATTTAATCCACTAAGTTTGAGTAACAAATAAACAATTTTGAAGTTTTGGAATATATAGAGGGTTCTAAAGATACACATCTGTTGAGAATTACTGCTTCTCTCTTCCAAAGAAATTTTGGGCCACAATTTCCCTGACACATATAGCCCTTCAGCGAGAGTGTGATAAATACCTACTGAATGAGTAAATTAAAACTGTTTGCCCAATTATGTCCAAGCATGTGAACATAAGTGTGTTCATATCCAGAGTTTTGGCTAGGATGATGTATACTTAACATATGACTTAACATATGTATACTTAACATACGATGCCATAAAGAAGAGTCAAATGTCTTAGAAAACAATTCTATTGAGCCATAGGTTATCGCTGGACTGTATTTTTTTAATCTCCTTTTTATCTTCATTTTTTATCCCACTCACTTCCCAAAATTGTTCCTACTTGCTTTAAAAAGGACTTTTGTTGTCTCATATACATCAACAGTTGTTGATCGATGAGCTGACAATTAAGATGCTTTTTATTAACAGAAAAATATTGTTCCTTAGCTGCAGAAGGGGATTCTTCAGTTATATTGACTTGCTTTTCAAATTAACATTGAAATATTTCCTTGGAAGAGTTTGGGCTGCTTTATAAAAACATTTGGAGGAAAATGGCAGGAGTGGAAACTAACTCCCTGTCTCCCAAGAGAAACATTTAAAGACAAGCAGAAAGTGTGAAAACCAAATTTTCTGAGGAGCAGAATGCAGAGCATAAGTTGCCTGGGGATGTTATCAAGTATACTAAAAGACACTTCAAGAGAGACCTAGGAGAGATGAGAAAAAAATGATTGCTGAAAACTGAAATTTGATGAAAGACACAAATTTACATATCCACAAAGCTCAACAAACTGCAAGTAAGGTAAGCTAAATAGATCCAAGTCAAGACACATGATAATTGAGCTGCAAAAGACAAACACAAAGACAACATCCTGATAGCAGCAATAAAAAAGCAAGCAGCTTTTCAGGTAAAAAACATTTTCAATAAAATTGACAGCTGATTTCTTCTCAGCAATAATAGAGGCCAGATGGCAGAGGGATGACATATTTAAATATGTCAACAAAGAATATCTCTATCAAAACTCTCCTTCCAAAATGAGGGAGAAATTGAGACATCACAGGGCAAGTAAAAGCTGAGTAAGTTCACTATTACTAGGCCTCCCCTATCAGAAATGCTGTAGGCTTTCAGGTGCAAATGAAATGACACTAGACGGTAATACAGAGGTATGTGAAGATACAAGGATCTTCAGAAAAGGCAAATATATGGGCACATATGAAAACAGTATTGTTGTATTATGAAATATATCTAAACTTTTTTATTTTCTAGACTTTAAACAGCAAATGCATAAAACAATTATAAATATATGTTACTGGGCACAAAATCCATAAAGATGCAATCAATGTATGATGACAACAGCATAAAGCAGGCATGGGGGAATACTTGCATAGGAACAGGGTTTCTGAATGCTACTGAAGTTAAATAGTTATCAATTCAAATTCGATTGCCATAAATTTAGGATCTTTACTATAATTTTCAGGGTAACCACAAAGAAAATAGCTAAAAAGAAATACACAAATGAAATGAGGAGACAATCAGAACTGCTCAACACACAAAAAAAATCAACAAAAGATGGTAATAATAGAGGAAATAAAGAGCTCAAAAAGGTAAAAGATATACAGAAAACATCAAAATGGTAGAAATAAATCAGAATTTCATTAATTATAAATGAATTAAAATCTCTAATCAACAGAATGCATAAAAATGATTCAACTATATGCTATTTACTACAGATTCACTTTAGCTCTAAAAACACAAATAGGTTGAAAAAGATCTAAAAGTACAAATAGATCTAATAACACAATAGAAAAAGATACTCTATAGAAACAGTAATCAAATAGATAAGGTAGTTGTACTAATATCAGACAAAATAGCTTTGAATAAAAAATAATTACAAGTCAAAGGACACTACATACTGATAAAAAATTTACTTTATCAAAAAGATATACCAGTTACAGACATATTTATTCACTAAACAACAAAGACCTAAAATATGTGAAGCTGACATTAATAGAATTAAAAGTAGAAACACTTCTACAATGAAAGGTGGAAACTTCAATATATCATTTTAAATGGATAGAATATCTAGAAGCATATATAGGTAACTTAAGTAAATAGGAAATATAAAACAACCTGAGCAATACTATAAACCTGTTTGACTAACATGCATAGAACATTCTACCCCATCATAACAGAATATACAATCTTCTCAAGTGCTAACGGAACACTCACAGAATAAGCCACGTTAGGACACAAAGCATGTCCAGTACATTTAAATGGAATTCACACAAAGTATTTTCTCCAATTAGGAAACGAAAGAAGAAATCATCTATTGAAAGAAAACTGAAAAATTTGCAACTTTGTGAAAATTAATCAGCATACTTTTAAACAACTGCTGAGTCAAAGAACAAATCACAGCAGATTCTGATCTATGGTAGTTATGTACTCTTTCTTCATAACCAAGAGTCTGGAAAAAGCAGAAGAAATTGTTTGTGTCCCCTTTTTCCTTTTTACTACACTCCACAGAAGCTGTGGTATTAAAGACAAAAGGCACCTTTTGATTTCTAACTTCTCAGATCCTCTTCGCAAGCCAAATAACCTTTGTTTGAATCCCCACTCTGCCTCTTACCACTTGTATGATCATGCTCAAATTACTTAATCTTTCTGAACCTCAATTTCCAATCTATAAAACGGAGTTGTGAGGATTAAACATCATGTGGTTATTGATGATTACATTGAGTTCTTATAATAGTGCCTGGGACACAGTATATACCAGTGGAGGTGAACCTATGGTCTGCGTGCTATAGCAGGCGTGCAGAGCCCTCTCTGTAGGTATGCAAGCCAAGTCACGCCAGCCAAGTTTTGACAAGTTATCAGCATACCTACAACAGCAAAAGTCACATTGGCTGGGTATGGTGGTGTATGCCTATAAACGCAGCACTCAGGAGGTTGAGGTGGGAGGATCGCAGCAAGTTCGAAGTTAGCCTGAATGACATAGCGAGACCTTGTTCCCCCACAAAAAAAATCTTATTAAGTGTGGAAAAGCTCCTAAATGCAAACTTTTACCTTCCAATTAAAAGCTGTTCATATCATTGAAAACTGTTATTGTGTTTTGAAGACAAAAGATGTTAATGTATGAGTTGTTTTTCCTAAACTAAAACCTCTCTATTTAGACTTAATTGCAGTGTTGGCACTTTGTGATAAATAAGTGAGTTTTAGGTTGGGGTTTTTAGTTTTAGGTTTTTAGGTTTTGCGCTTCTGTCTCTAAAAGGTTCCCCATCACTGGTATATACCATGGGAACATTATCCAAAAGTCTTTGGTGTTCATCTCATCTGATTTCTTCCCAATATTTTACACTTCTAACAATTTCATTGAAACTCTATTTTGATTGCTATACTTTTTTAAATTTTCCTTATAATTTGTTGGCTGTGCCTTCTTTTTATCTTTGTCTTCATACTTAAAACTGAAAACAGAAAAGAAAGTGTTTTAAAATATTTGAACTTTAGGGACAACTGAACTAGTTCAACACTTAAAATCTCAGGAATGGCTTCCCATTTCTTACAAGATAAAGTCCACCAACTGAAATCATACCAAACATTTGTAACTTTTCTCCTGTCTTCCACAGTCTCATCTTCAGTCAAGTCCTTGCTTCTCTATTCCTTTACTTTATGCCTTCTCTAGTCTTTTTTTACTTTTTCTCAAAGTCTTAACTAAATGCCCCACTCTGTGCTCCCAGACTACCTTAAACAACTTCTATCTTTACCGTACTACATCTGATGCCTCTGGTTTTTACACTAGACTGTGAGAAATGGGACTCTTACTTGCCTTTAAATTCCTAATATCCAGTATAGTGTCAGGTGAATTAGAGGTGCTCAATAAATGTCAAGTGAATATATATAATTAGTACTTTGGGCTAGTGTCTCATGAAACAAAAGGCTTAAGAGTTCAATACTTATCTAGATCTTCTAAGTAAAACAGGATTGGAACCCAGTTTGCTTAATTTTTACTCCAATACTTTTCCTCAACACATTCTACTACTGAGCCAGCCACGAGTACAGTGGCTGCAAGGATCAGATCTGGTACCAGACAGTACACAATTCAATATCACCAGTATCTAAACACATAATCTTGGCAAGTCAAACTTTGTCCACTAGTTTCCTCCTAAGACAGGAACATACATCTAATGCCATTTGTGTCATGGCTAAATGAGACAATTCATGTAAAGTGATTAGAAGTGTTTCACACACACCATACACTAGAAAAGTTATTAGAAGTTATTATTTAAATAGCAAGATGGCCGAGTGGAATATTTTCACCTCACGAGTTTTCGTGTAAAACAAACCATGAAAATAAATAAGCTGCAGTTCTTCTGCAGAATTCCAAAAAGTGGAACATAATTAATCTTGAACCTACCTGGTCCCTAACCCCAAGTCGTGGCTCACAGTCTTAAGTCCTGGGCCACACTGTAGTCTTCTATATTTGATAAAGGATAAATTCCCTTTTGATGTCGGGCGGCTTTTTTTTTTCTTTTTGAGACAGGGTCTCCCCATGCAGTCCAGGTTGGCCTTGAACTCACGTAATTCAGGCTGGCCTCAAACTCACGGTGTTTCTCTTGCCTCAATCTCCCAAGGGCTGGGCTTACTGGCGTGTACCACCAAGCCGACAACGTTTGGGAGCTTTAAAAACTTTTCTTTCACACTAATTGAGCAGGGAGAATGAATACTATTCGCTCTTTAGTAAATCTCAGCTCTGCTCCAGTCCACACACCAGTGATTACTCTCGACTGACTCCAGCCTAGAAACAATCAGGGAAGACGCAAGACCCTCCAACCCTCTTTCTCCCGTGCTGTTTCTTCCGCCACACGATGCCACCACTACTCCCCTTTCAAAGCACTCCATGCAGCTCGGTGGCGAGCGCTTCCGCGGGGCCTTGGAATCTTCTATCTCTTCCACACCTCCTGGGGTGCTTTTCTCCAGGTCCGCAGCATCTATGTGACGCTACTCTTGGACTGGAGTCCAAGCGTGAGGAACGAGCACAGATATCGGAGACTGCAACAAGGTACAGAACCATCGGCACTGATCAGTAGGAGATCGGGAAAGAGAGAAACCTCCTTCCCAGCGTCTGCGCCACAAGGGAGCAGTAACAACCCCTCGTAAAGGGCAGAAGGCCCCGGGCGCATGCGCCCCAGGTCCCGCCCCTTCCCGGTGGTTCAACCCCCATTGGCCCAGAGGCTGGGGGTGTAGTGCATCGTCGCCGGTGTAGCAGTCACGTGGCGCGCGGGGGTGGAGCTACGCGGCGGTTTCACAGCTGGACTGAAAGAGATCCTCGCTCCCCGGCCGTGAGAGCACGGCCTGGCCCTCGCCGAACAGCGTTAAGGGAATTTCCGAGTTCTCATCGGCCTCCCAGACTCGCTTTCCTTCCCCTCCGAAGCTGGGCCTTCTGGCCCCTTGCTGCGGAGTCTGCGGCCGCCGGGAAGCCCGGATCCAAGTGTCCGCGAGTAACCGGAAGTGCCGCCCGCAGGCCGATGGGCGGCTCCAGGGCTGCAGGGTGAGCGCGGCGGGCCGGGTCGGGAGTAGGGTGAAGAGAGGGGAAAGGAGAGGAGCAGCCGGCCCCTCCACGCCGAGGACCCAGGACTGTGCAGCGGTCAATGAAAAGTTGAAGACCCTTTTAGCAGGCTAGTTTCTGGAGATCATAATAAACACTTGTCTAAGCCATACATAGCTTCTTTATGCCATATGAAAGCATGTGGGAAAACCGAGGACGTTGAATAAATCCTCCAGTCTTCAGTACGGAGATTAGTTATATTGCAGTAGAATCTGTTTGCAGAATTTGGTTGGTTTAATCATTTCATGACCATTTCTTTTTGGAAGGCTGAAATATATGTTATAACTTCGTAGTGTACGTAAGCCTTGCACCTCGGAGGTTTGTAGTGTTGAAAAAATGAATCTTTGGCCTCACAAATCGGGATAATACAAAGAAAATTAGCAGGAGGAAAATTCAAATAACCAAGAAAAAGCCTAGGGCTTTGTTAGGAAGTTAAAGTTCGTCATTATCCGGAAGAATTTTTGATATTTTGTGTAGAGCCGGACAGGAAGGAACTTTTTGACAGTTCTTGCAAAAGAAAGGGTGTAAAAGATGAGAAGAGATAAGATACGATTGAAGGGCATTGATCGGATTGGAGTTAATAGGACCAATATTTAAATGGCAAACTCTTAAAAAATTATAAATTTCACCGAGTCACCTGAATTGTTGAATTTTTTTTCTCCTCTAGGAGAGGGAAGAATTAAGTCGTGTGAATAGTTCTGTACTAGAGATCTTTTGGAGCCAAAAGAGAACTCAGTCAAGTCTTTTGTGTTATGGTAAGTGACACGCTAGGCTCTGTGTTTTTATATAAATGTGCATTTGGAAAGAAGCAGGACAGGAAAGAATGGGAGATGATACATGGCAAAAAATAACAGCCTTTCCTTAGTCACTAAAATGTCAGATTACTGGGCCCTCTTCTATCAATTTGTCTGTTTTCTACTCCATTCCAGTATGCTTGCTTATTCACAGTAGGCTTGCAATAACTGCTACTTGATTGATTTCCGACACAAGAAGGCAGTATGCCCAATGCTTATGCAGGCTCTGGAGTCAGAAGATGGATATTAAACTCTGGCTGTCCTTACCTAGCTGTGAGTTCTTGAGTGATTAACTAATTGCTGTAAACATCAGATTTTTTTATCTCTAAGATGCAAATATTTGGTATTAATACCTATTTTACAGGGCTGTTGGGAGGGTTAAATGAAAGAATTCCTGTAATCAATGAAAAATAAGGTAATCCCTGACCTAGGGCCTGTACATTGAGCATTATATACCACAAACTTGGGTAGACATAAGTACTGTGGAGAGAAATAAAGTGAGATAAGGGGATGTTAGCTATCTTATATGTGTAAGATTGTCCTTTTTGAGGAAGTGATTTTGAGACAGAGACTTGAATCAAAGGAGCAAGCTGTTTGGAGGAGAGACGATGTAAGCAGAAGGAGCAAGCGTAAAAGCTCTGAGGTGAGCTTTGAGGCTGAAGGTATGCAAAGGTTACCACATTACATAGGGCAGTAAAAACGTTGGATTTTACTTCTGAGTGTGATAGGAAACAGTATTTTAAACTCAGGAAGTGTTGTGGTCTACTTTGGGGTTTGACAACCAGACTGTATTTTATTTTCTAAGTGCTGACACCTAAAAGGTTTAGACATGGATGTAAGAAGATGATTTTCTCAATTGAAAAGAAAATTTCCTTTTTGGTGCACCGCACTTTTCTTTGTTGTTTAGAGCAAATATGATAGCTTGGACTGATAGCTTTAGGGAATAATCTGATTGATTCGCCAAGCCATGAGCAAACTCAGAATGCTTTATTTCCTCTGTACTCTCCTTTTAAGGTTAGCAGTAAGACACATTTTAAGAGACAAAATTCCCATAAATCCACCGACTTGAACTGCTGTTTTGTCTGTGTGCCTGCATGTCTTGTCTTATGATTTTGAGTTTGAATTCTCTTCTAAAGTTTCTCCATATTTTTTCTAGTTTTTGCACTATCATTAACTGGCTGAATTATCTCATTTAATCACTTTAAATAGGCTATGAGCAGGCTTGGCAGAAGAGTCAAGTACAGAGGATGAGTTAATAAATGTTAATGGTTTTGTGCATGTGAAGGAAGAAGAAAATAGAACCTGTCATTTATTGAGCATCTTCTGAGACCCAGGTATTAAACATAGTTCTTTACCCTTAGTGTCACAGTTATCACAGCAACTCCCTGGGACATATATTTTACCTGTGTTAACACAGGAGAGATTGAAATTGAAGGAATGTAAGTGACTTAGCCAAGTTCTTATAGCTACAAAGGAACACAATAGAAATTTGAAAGAAAAATCTGATCCAGAATTTAAATTAACCTTCAGTTTTATCTACCAAAATATAACAATCTTCAGCCACTAGGTTTTTGAAAAACTAAGATAAAATAACTTAATTTTGAAATAATTTCAGACTTTAAAAAAATTGTAAAAGAGTACAAAAAAAGTCTGTATACCCTTCATCTGTATTCTCTACGTGCTAATATTTTACTGTTTCTGTTACACATGGTCATGTATTTTTTTAACCGTTTAAAAACAAGTCTTAGACATAATGCCTTTTCTTATTAAACTATGAGAAAATTAAGTCCTAAAGTGTATAATGAATTACATAACTTCTGTACTTGGACAATGCTACTAGGTACCTCTTGTTCTTGGGAGAATTGAAAAAGTAGTTTTTAAATACATTTCCTGTAGTGCTTAATTCTCTCCTAGAACCCTAATTGAGAAAGACTGTCCAAAATACTCATTTGCATATTTCTTAAAAAGAAGAATATTCTCTTAAACTGTTAGTACAATTTAAAGAGTCAAGAAAAACATTCAAACAGTACTATAATCTATAGATACTATTCAGATTTAACCATTTGTTCTACTAATGTGCTTTTATAGCAAAAGGGAGAAAAAGGAGTTTTGTAGTCCCAACATTTTATCAAATTATAGTGTCCTTTTTACAGAAGAATATATTTTCAGATTTTGTCTTTTATTACCTTGTTTTTGAAAAATTCGGGCCATTTGGTAGCATTTCCCTCAGTTTGGGTTTGTCTGTAATTTCTTCATGAACCTGCTTTCAAATGGTTACATGTTTTGGCAAAGAACCCAAAATGATGTGATGACCTCTGCATCATATGAGAAGGCACGTGATATTGCTTTGTCTCAGTGCTGGTGACGTGAACTGTGATCTCATTTTTAGTCTTTGTAATCATTAACTATCTAGTGGAAATATCTGTCTTGATGATCATAAAACTTTTTACTAGCTAGATTTTTGCCTGATTTTTTGATTGGGCATAGTGATTTTTTAATTCCATCATTTTACATTTAATTAGTTATTGGCTTTTCTAATGTGAGAAGACATTTTTTCTTCTCTTTTACTTATTCTCTAATGAGTACAGAGTGATGAATTCTTCTCATGTTAATATTTTATTACTATCGTTTACTTTGATGTCTTTATTCCCGATTTGTACAGTGGCAACTCCAACCTAATTCCAGCTTCATGTTAGCATAGTCACCACTTTTGAGCTCTTCTTTACTTTCTACACAACAAGATGTTCCAGGCACATCTGTAGTTTCCAAACCCTATAATCAGCCTTTTCTCTAACGAGCTCTAATTCCTCTCGATACAGAATGGTACTTAACACCTGAAATCTGAGTGCCTGGTATCCTCATTAGTACACAGTTTCATTTCTGTGACTTCTCAGCAAATGTTACTGGGAAAACATACACACACTTCTATTTTCTCTCTATATATGCTTTAAATACTGACCTCATTCTTATATGTCCAATTACAGTTAAACAGTATAGAATCAGTCTAACCTTTTTCTTTTTTTTTTTTTTACTTCTTTTATTGGTACATTTTAGATATACAACATATTTACATTTCTCGTTGGGAACTTGTACCTTTACATGATGCATCTTGGTTTCTTATCTAACCTTTTTCTTTTCTGAATTTGTGATTTGTCTGACAGTGGAAAATCTAGGTGCCATTATGCATAGCATATCTACTTATTTGTTCATTTCTAAGGTACACCCTTACCACCATGAGGGGGGAAATGGTGAGTAATCCTGTAATCCTAGATACCTGGGAGGCTGAGACAGGCAGATTATAAGCACAAGACAGCAAGTTAATCAATCCCCAATAGTAGTGTTGAGGAAAAAAGTCAAAATCCTATTCAGAGTTTAATCATTATTTATAGTTCTTTTTATCTTGGAGTTTAGATATATCTCAATACTGTGTTAAACAGTTTTGTCGTTTTTCCTCTAATGAGTGGTTGTGTTACACATTTAAAACATAAACTTACTTTGTTTTGTTTGGATTGTACTTTATAATTTTTGCTACCATTTTGTCTTTATTAAATATGTAAAATGTGACAGAGTTCTAAAAGTAGAAATTTGTGTATATGTGTTCTCAAAGATGTGGGACTTTTTCTTCCTCCACCCTGTTATATCAGTTTCATTTTTTTGTCTTTAGAGCTCATCTTCACCTGCTTTGTGATGATAATCAGACTTACTAGTTTGTCTATCTTCTCTTCTTTTTGGCCAAATAGTCATATCATTTTTAATTTCTACTTTCTTTTCAAAATACAGCTTTTTTTTTTTATAGTTTATCCTAGAATCACTCTACATTAGTTCATAAAGATTTCCCTCATTCTCTTTTATAGTGGCTGTGCTACTCACTTGTTAACATGAGGACACTGAAGTTATTTTGAATATTTTCCAATTAGAAACACTGCTATACTGAATAATTTTATGCATGTATATTTCATAGTATTGGAGGAGTATCTTCAGAGTCACTTTCTAGAAATGAGATTGCTGGGTCCATTATAAATGTATGTCTTGCTGTGTTTTACAGTACTATGCTCCCATCCAGAGGGATGAGGAAGTCATACCAATTTGCATTCCTTCCAGCAACATGAATACTGTATGTCTGTATCCCTGTAGTCTTGACAACAAAATATATTGTCATATTTTTTAATGTATGCCAGTTTTTTAAAAATGGTATTTCGTGTGCTTCTTTTGATGATCTCATTTTTTTAATAGACTTTTATTTTTAGAGCACAACAAAAGTAAGCAAAGAATACAGGGTTCCCATATGTCCCTTTGCCTTTCAGCACACAAATAGCGGGGTCCTCTACTTTCAACATCCCACACCAGAGTGGTGCATTTGATACAATCAGTGAATTTCTGTTGGCATATCATTATCACTCAAAATCCATAATTACATTAAGGTTTACTTTCTATGTTGCATATCTTACAGATTTTGACATATGTATAAAGATACATATCTACCATTTATATCCAAAAAGTTTTCTGTGCTCCACTTATTTATCCTCCCTCCTCACTAATCTTGGGAGCTATTGAACATATTCACTGATTCCCTACGTTTGCTTTTTCCAGAATGTCATATAATCTTTTTGGAATTGTATAGTTGGAGTCATATAGTACTGTATGTAGTTTCTCCAGATTGGCTTTTTTCACTCAGTTATTTCCATTTAAGGTTTCTTGATGTCTTTTCATTGATTTAGTAGCTCCATTCCTTTTTAGCACTCGACAGTATTGTCTTGTGTAGATGTACCTCACTCTGCGTAATCCATCACCTACTGAAGGACATCTCGGTTGCTTCCATATTTTAGCAATTATACTAAATCTGTTACAAACATTTGTGTGCAGGTTTATATGAACACAAACATATTTGGGGATGAATTATTAAACCATTTGGATAAATACATGTAGTGTAGCAAAAGTATGTTTAGTTTTTGAAGAAACTGCCAAACCATCTTCCAAAGTTTGTACCCTTCTGCCGTCCTGTCAGCATTGAATGAAAACTGTTGTTTTACAGCCTCACCTGCATTTGGTGTTGCCAGTGTTGGGATTTGAGTATTCTAGTGAACATGTACTATTATCTCATTTTAATTTAAAATTCCCTAATAACATAATGTTGAACACATTTTCATATGCTTACAAGTCATCTGTATATGTTCTTTTTTTTTTGGTACCTGGGATCGAACTCAGTACCTTACACTTGCAAGGCAGGCACAGTGCCACTGAGCTACACAACCCAAGCCCAGCTAAATCCCCAGCCCATCTGTATGTGTTCTTTGATGAAGTGTCTTGCATGTCTATTGCCCTTTTTTAATCCAATTTGTTTTTTCACTGTTTTAAGAGTTTGTATATATGTAATATATTTGGGATATTTCATATATGTGAATAGTCCATTATCAGATATGTTTTCTGCAAATGTTTTCTTCCAGATAATGGCTTATCTTTCCATTTTCTTAATGTCTTTTGCAGAACAGAAGTTTTTAATTTTAATGAAGTCTAGCTTAACAGTTTCCTTCTATTGATTGGGCCTTTGGTCTTGTATCTAAAGAGTCATTGCCTTAGTCATCAAGAGTTTCTCCAATAGAATAGGAATTTTATAATTTTTTGTTTTACATTTGGCTCTATAATCAGTTTCTAAAATTCTTAATTGAGAAGTAAATTTTGTATTTATGATATATAACATGCTTGATATAGATAATAGATTATATATAAATATATATAATCGAACGGTTAAATTAAGCTATTTAACATATGCATTATTTCCCATGACTTTTTTATGATGAGAACACTTAAAATTTACTCACTTAGAAATGTTCAAATTACAGTATATTTATTGTTATTAACTATTAATCACCATGAGGTATAGTAGACTTTTTTTGGGGGGGAACCCCGGGGATCAAACTCAGGTCCTTGTGCTTATGAGGCAGGCAGCAGAACCACTGGGCTAAATCCCCGGCCCTATAATAGACTTTTTAAACTTACTCTTGGCTAATTGAAATTCACCAACAGCAGGCCAGCCTCTTACCCCTTAGCCTCTGTTAACCACCGTGTTGTTCTTTTAAGTAAAGAGTTCACTGTATACATATTTACACTGTATACATTAATGACATCATATGGTACTTATACCTTGAGGTTCATCTTGTATTGTTTCAAATAACAAGATTTCTTCTATAAAGCTGAATAGTATTCCATTGTGCATATGTATTACATTTTCTTTCTCCAGTCATCTATTGTATATTTCATTTTGAGTTAATTTTTGTGAAAGGTATAAATTCTGTGTTAATTCTTTGGTGGGGGACATATGGTTAATCCTTTATCCCAGTATAATTTTTTTGTAATTTCTTTGGCTCCTTGATTAAAGATCAGCTAATTATATTATGTGGGTATATTTTTGAGCTCTGTATTCTCTTCCATTCAGCTGTGTATCTCTCTTTCATTAATACCACAGTCTTGATTATTGTAGCTTTATAGTAAGTCTTAAAAGTTAAGTAGCATGAATTCCTCCATTTTTTTCTTTCAATATTGTTTGAGTCAGTTTTAACATTAGTTCACGCTAGAGTTTCCTAGTTATAATAGCATGTTATCTCTAGGTAGAGAATTTTCCTACTACTTTTCAATTATTACAACCCTAATTGGCTTTTCTTCTAATTACATTAATATTTCCAAGTCAATGTTTAATAAAAGAGGAGGTGGTGACCTCCTTGCCTTGTTGCTCCTCTAAGTGGAAATGATTGTAGATTTTCTCACTTAAGGCGCTAGTTTTAGGATACAAAATGCAGATTGTATCATGTTAAAAGGCGCAGTGTCCATGAGTCATTTGGGGATAGATGAAGATTGTATTTGTGATTTCTTGCAGCACCTATGGAGATAGCTATATGATTTTTCTCTATAGATTTGTGAATATGGGGTATTAATGAGTTTCCTAAAAGTGAGGGTGTCCTCATAGTGAACCAAATTTGCATTCCTTGAATAAATCCCACTTAGTCACGGTATATTATGTTCTTGACATGATATGGATTTTTGTTAATATTTTTCACATTGATAGTGATATTAGGCTGTGAATTTTGCTGTACTGTCTTCGTCAGGATTAGTTATCAGTGTTATTCTTGTTCCCCTTTTTCAGGTTTTCTGGAAAACATTTTTGAATGATTGGGCTTATTTGGTCTTTGTAGATTTGTCAGAATTACCTTGTGGAAATAATCTGAGCTTTTAAGTTTTTCAGAGTAAACAGGATTTTGAATTAATTATTTTTCTCTAGTTCATTCACTTCTACCTTGTCCTTTATTTTCATCCTTGTTAAAGAGCCATAAGGGTTGGTTTGGGATCATGGTTATTCTATACACAATAGAATTAAAGGGATTACCCTAAGAAAACTCATCTATTCCTTTTAATGAAACTGTCATTTATTCATTGGTAGGTCCTTTGGGTGTAAATAATCTAGTCTGAAATCCTCTCACTTGTGGCTTCTTGCCCTCTTGTTGTCCTTGTGTTTTACAGAATGCTTGATCAATCAGATTTTCAAGACCATGAGATGAATGCTGCTTTTCTTCTAGAAAAGATTCTGGGTAAGCTATGATTGCTTCAGTCTTTTGAAATTTAACTTTTCTCTCTCAAAATACATCTGATCAGAATAGCTCCTGTCCCTGTGACATTTTAGTGTTTTTTTTTTTCTTTACTAGTTAAGGAGAGAAATAGAATTTCAATGAGAATTCGTTTTTGCATTCCATATGCTTATTAGGTGCCAACTGTGTGTGCCTAGTGCTACTGTAGAATCTTAGTATCAGTATATAGGTCCCCTGCTGTCTTTCTTGGACTGTAACCAAGAACAAATTCTAGGCATTTAGCTCTGTAAACTCAGTTTAATAGAAGAAAAGAAAAAGAATGTTCTCTATGATACTTAAGGTTTTATGATTGTGACAGAGACAAGGAATGTGCTTGGGCCTTAATACAGTGTATATTGTTAGTGATTTTTCTGATAAACATTTCCTGAAATACACATGGTACAGAGTTAAAGCAGTGCTTTCTGTGGGTACCTGCCATTGCAGGCAATTCCTTAAAATCCAAGAGCAGATATGTCAGTCAATAAGGTGAACTCTGACTCAGCATCTTGGTGATAAATACTTAGAAAAGTATTCATTCACTTACATCATAGGGACAGACACATGCTAATTTTTAAGGTATTTTATTGGCTAATAAGGATTCATTTGATGGGTCAGCTTTATATACTCATTTCTGAGGCTATTCATTATTAACTGGGCAGGGAAAAATAGTTTTTTACTATAATATCATGAGAGTCACCTAAAAGCTATCTTTTGGACCAAAAATATCATTTCTAATAGTGTGCAGTAAATTATAAAAACATGATAGAATATTTGAAATCAGATGTTGTCACTGTATTTAGCATAGCATGCCAAGTGTCACATCTTCTAGATTCTTTGGATCAACTGGGATGATGATATACTGTGTATTCTGGATCCATTTGCCATTGAACAATGGCAAAAACCAAGGTAGCAAGTATAAGTGTGTAGGGGAAGAGTGGGGAAATGAGTCACAGTGGTGACAGCGGGTGTCAGATTTTTTTAGGGGCCTTAGTTTCTAACAGGAGCATTTTTGATGGAATGGTGAGGGTGAATGTTTGATTGGAAAATATTCCAGAAACATTCAGAGACAAGAGTTGGAGACTGTAAATAGATTCATTTTTTTTTTTTGGTACTGGGGATCGAACTTGGGTCCTTGCGCTTGCGCAGCAGGCAGTGAAACCACTGAGCTAAATCCCCGGCCCTAGATTCATTTCTTTTGAGGAGGAATACTAGCTGGAGGGTGGGGCGATTAAGAGCCATTTTCTTGTTAGTTAAAAGAGAGATTTTTTTAGAAGAGAAATAATCAGTTTGCTAAATAGAATGATCCAGTATAAAGGGATAAATCATAATGGCAGAGAGGGAAGGTAGAATTGCTGGAGTGATGTCCTTGTGAAGAAGGGGGTGGAATCCAGTACACAGATGGATAGGATGCCTTTAGATTGAGCAAGGGCAGTTTGTCATCCATGGTTAAGAGAACATGCAATCCTTGACCACATATGGAAGAAGTTGGCTGAGGTGGTGGTGGGAGCATGCGGAAAGGTGTTTCCTTTATATGTGTGTGTTATTGTTATTTTGTGTACTTCTGTTTTCTTAGTAAAAATCATTAACTTAGCTTTCTCCACTGGCACTCACTCCACTCCGGCCATGGTGTTCATATTTGTGGCCTTTTGCTACATGCTGGCTCTCCTGCTCACTGCCACACTCATCTTCACCATTTGGCACATTATAGCATTTGATGAACTGAAGATTGATTACAAGTATCCTATAGACCATTGTAATACTCTGAATCCTCTTGTCCTTCCCAAGTGTCTTATCCATGGTTTCTTCTCTGTCACGTTTCTTTGTGCAGCAGAATAGCTTACACTGAGTCTCAATATGTCCCTCTTGGCATATCATATTTTGGAAGGATATGAGTAGACCAGTGATAAGCAGACCAGAACTCTATGACCCTACAACCGTCATGAACACAGACATGCTAGTGTACTGTCAGAAGGCTGGGCAAATTAGCTTTATACCTCCTAGTGTTTTTTTTCTACCTATGTGGCATGGTCTGTGTTTTGGTGAGCTCTTAAAATAACACACAGAAGAATTGTCCAGTTAAGCGCATGCAAAAGCCACCACAGGAAGGGATTCTGTCCAGCAAGGTCCTGTTTCCAAGAGTAGCCTGTGGAATCTGATCAGTTGCTTTAAAAAATAACTCCTTTTATTTTTTTTCTTTTTTTTTTGGTACCAGGGATCGAACTCTGGTCCTTGCACTTGCGGGGCAGGTGGTGGAACCACTGAGCTAAATCCCTGGCCCTGACTCCTTATTTTTTAAATGTTTCCACATTTTTTTGCTTGTGGAAAGACTTCCTGTGTTATACTTGGATAAAGAATTTAATTGGAATTATGTATAAATTAATATAAAATGATTACCTTTGATATTGACAGGTAGAACTTGCACTCCTTAAGGAACAGCCATATTCCTTTGAATGAGTGCATTAATTACTGACTGTCCTTAGTCCATTGAAAGCTTTTGTTTATAGGAACCTGTAGGGCTTATTTTGGTTTATTGAAATACCATCTTACTATAAATTAGCTGTAGATAATCAGGTGCTTCTGATGAGGTGAAAATGTACGTCTGATTTGTAGGAAACTGGATAGGTTTCCTCATTTATCATTAGATCATTATATCTGGATACATTTACAAAAATAAAGAGTAGGGTTGTTTCCTGCTTTGACTTGAATATTATCCCTGTAATAGTGCATGAATGAGAGATTTCTCATGTTTCTATCCCAGTCATATACTTGCTTTAATTCTTAAGCATAAGTGAGCATGATGTAAAAAATACATGCTAATTTATTGTGAAGAATGCATTTAAAGCTATTTTAAATGTTTTTATTTGTAAGAAAATTACTTATTAAGAAACTGGTTGTATTATGCTCACTGTTCTAATCTGGTGGTAAAGGTATTCTTAAGAATTTGCAAGTATTTTAGATTTTCAAAGTTGAATGAGAGGGCCGGGGATGTAGCTCAGCAGTGCCGCACCTGCCTGGCAAGCGCAAGGTCCTGAGTTCAATCCCTGGTACAGGGGTTGGGGGTAGGGGGGTGGGAGGGGAGGTTTTGAATGAGAGGGAAAATTGTGTACCATCCTGCTGTTCCTTTAGTGCAATAAAATAAAATGCTAAAGTTAAAACTCAGTAAAAAAATCATTAGGTTATTAGCTTATACTTGTAAGGTGAAGGATGGCAGTGTTGCATGTATGAGAAGAAAGTCAAACATAGTAAAAGGTTACTGAAGAGAGTGAAAGTGAAGGACATGGAAAATAGTCCCCTTTGATTTGCTTTCTTTCTGAACAGGCATACTAATTATTAAACTTACCTTGATTTCTCAGCTGGGGCAAGGGAAAGAAAAGCCAAGTTTTGAGGTCACCCACATTCATAAAAGAAGGAATTGTTACTTGGAGTTTCTGATACGTATTGCTAATTATTTTTATATTAGCAGAGAGGAAACTAAATACAGATGAAGCATCCTTAATCCAAACATTCAGAAACCACAATTTGTAACTTGAGTTTCAACATGATGCCATGAAAATTCCACATAAAGAAGCCTTGTTTTGTGCACAAAATTATAAAATTATTGTACAAAAACCTTTAGACTTTATGTGTAAGATACACATGAAACCTAACTGAATTTTGTGTTTAGACTTGAGTCCTAGCCTCAAGATATCCCATTATTTATATGCAAATATTTCAAAATCTAAATTCTTTTCCCAGGCATTTTTTGGATAAGTATACTCAACCCACATAAAACCTAGAAGACTTATGTACTCTCATACAGAATTTCTTTTCTGCAGAGATTTTAATTTTGAGGATTCTTTTTTTAGATATAAGAATATAAATAATATTTCTACTTTGTCTCATAGGTTTGGAAATACAAAGTAAGGAATTATGATGGTGGAAACTTGTGAAAGAGGACTGTGTATGACTGAAAGGCTTGAAACAGATATATCTTCCATGTTCTCATCAAGAAAATGACTACAAAGGCAATGATGGGTCAGAAAGACCACTGGAAAACTCCCTAGAAGAGAGCCATAGAAAATGTACGCTTCAGAAGAGAGATGTAATCAGAGAACTCAAAAAAAGAAAATACATTATGTATGCCCTCAGAAGGGTAAAAAGATTTTTATTCATGTGCGTGAGATTACTCAAATAGATAATCAAATATACCAGTGCCTTGATCGTGAACAAAACTTCTGTGAAAACTTAGCTCTTATTATGTGTGAGAGAACCCATATAGGGGAGAAACCTTATAGATGTGATATGTGTGAGAAAACCTTCATTCAAAGCTCAGATCTTATTTCACACCAGAAAATTCACAATTATGAGAAACCGTATAAATGTAGCAAATGTGAGAAGAGCTTTTGGCACCACTTAGCCCTTTCAGGACACCAGAGAACACATGCAGGTAAAAAATTCTATACCTGTGACATTTGTGGCAAAAATTTTGGTCAGAGCTCTGATCTGCTTGTCCATCAGCGAAGTCATACAGGTGAGAAACCGTATCTGTGTAGTGAGTGTGATAAATGCTTCAGTCGAAGTACAAACCTCATAAGACACCGAAGAACTCACACAGGTGAGAAACCATTTAAGTGTCTGGAGTGTGAAAAAGCTTTTAGTGGGAAATCTGATCTCATTAGCCACCAGAGAACTCACACTGGTGAAAGACCCTACAAATGTAATAAGTGTGAGAAAAGTTACCGACACCGATCAGCCTTCATTGTACATAAAAGAGTTCATACTGGGGAGAAGCCCTATAAGTGTGGCGCTTGTGAAAAATGCTTTGGCCAGAAATCAGACCTCATTGTGCACCAGAGAGTCCACACAGGGGAGAAGCCGTATAAATGCTTGGAATGCATGAGAAGTTTTACTCGGAGTGCCAACCTAATAAGGCACCAGGCCACTCATACTCACACTTTTAAATGCCTTGAATATGAGAAAAGTTTCAACTGTAGCTCAGACCTTATTGTACATCAAAGAATTCACATGGAAGAGAAACCACATCAGTGGTCTACATGTGAAAGTGGCTTCCTCCTGGGTATGGACTTTATTGCCCAACAGAAAATGAGAACTGAAACAGAGGACCTGCGTTATAAATACAGTGTATGTGATAAAAACTTCCACCAGAGCTCTGCCCTTCTTCAACATCAGACGGTACATATTGGTGAAAAACCATATATCTGTAATGTGAGTGAGAAGAGTCTTGAGCTCAGCCATCCTCATTCCTTGGAGGCCTCACATATGTCTTGAACAGACAAGAAGTTATACTATAAAAAATGTATTTACATGTCAGAGAACTCATTAAGATGAATATTAAGTGAATCTCAGACTTTGGTCAGAGCTCAGACCTCAGTGGGGACCAGACAGCCTACAGTTATAGGAAGTGTGAGAAATGCTTTATTTCCCAGAGAGTTGTCCTAACAAAACACCTTATCAGTCACTTCAAGGAGAAACTGCAGATGTCTTGAGTTTTGGAAAACCTTTAGCGTGAGCTCAAATTTGGTCACTCACAAGAGGATTCATACAGGTAGGAAATCTTCCAGTGCAGTGAGTATGAGAGTTTTCAGCCCTCCTCACTGCAAGAGAATTCACCCCAGAGAACAACTTTTAAATGCCTTCAGTGTCAACAGGATGTATATCTCATTGGACATCAGAAAAACCCATCCTGGGGAGAAGCCCCAGCAAGTGTGGAGGGGGAAAAAAAGCCTAACAGAACTCTGACTTTCTTATCCATCAGAGAAGCCATACTGGTGAAAAATTGTATATATGTCCTGAGTGTGGCAAAAACATCAGATGGAGAGCCTTACTTGGGTTTGTACCCAAAAAACAAAAACCAGTCTGAGGAAAGACCCTACAAATGTTTAAATTAGAAAAGCTTGTCAATGATCAGCTCTTGGGGTACATAAGGGAACTCACATAAGTGAAAAACCCATAAACACCTTGAGTCTGAAAAAAGGTTTGCTAGAAGCTTCTGTTTTTATTAGGCCCCAAAGAGCGCATTCTGCCAAGTGAGAGATCTAATTGAGGGTGAACCATCTGTGTACATATAACCCGTATGGTAGTGATAACTTTAAATGGAGTCACTATGGAAATAGTTTTCTAGGTCCCAGAAGCTTGTTTTGGGAGAAGCTAGGGCAGGTCAGAGTAGACCTGATGGGTAACTCAGGTGAAGATGCTTTTCTTTTATCTGAACCACTTAATACTTGCTTTAATTTCACTTTAATGTTCAGAAATCCAATAAGGGACTGATACCTTTTAGAATATGTGGCATGTGTTACTGTTGGGGGAGAGAAATATGTTGATTTTGCCTCATGATATTTCATCCTTGGCTAGAATGGGCCTAGTGTGTTGGTAGTAGCATGACAGCCTTTTGCTTGCTTTGAAAGGGACTAAGGAGGTAGGAAGCACTTAACCTAAGTCAAAACACTCCCAACAGTTTCTTGGTAGGATCAACTTCATAAAAAGGCAGAGTGCTCATCTTTCAACTGTGTTCACAGTTTGAGGCATACCCTCAAAATTTTTCTTTTCCCTAAAATATCTTCTCAGTTATCACTGGTATTTGAAATTTCAGGTTTATAGATTTCAACTCAAAATCCAAATTCCAGGATAATGGTTATGATGCTGTTAGTATTTGTATTTTTTACTTGGTTTATCATCTCAGTGATAGATAGTCTTAGTTGGTTCCTAGGAAAATGGCTTAGGGGAAGACTGAAAGGAAGATGTGAACCTGAGTAGGCACTGAGTAAAAAGACACAGTGATTTATTACTAATAGAGGAGCAAGACTTCTCATTTTCTGTATCCTGACTCCAAAGTGGGTGTTCTTTTCACACCATCCTGATATTTAGCAAATCAAGCCTGGTAATCCATTTTTTTATTTATTTCAGTTCTGCCAGTGAGAAAAATACCTTTTAATCCCAGGGAAAGGATTGCAGTCACCACAATGTAAGGTATATTTTGGCTTGGAATATAGGACTCTAAACTAGAAGGGAAAAGTAGTTTGGCAGACTCACCAGAAGTTTAAGAATAAGCACTTGTCTCCAATTTAACAGGGTAATTATGATTTGTCTTTAACATTGTTTAGAAATACTATAATCCATGGATGTATAAATAGGCACTTCTCAGTTTTTTTTTCTTTGTCTCTCAGATTTAAAGACATTTAATACAGATACTTCATATTCCTGCAGTATTTGGGACTCTGGACTGGTGAATAATTTGTTGCTAGTCAGAGTTCTCATTTTTGGGTTTGATTTATTCTAGATTCCAAGACTCCAGAGGATATTGGCATTTGGGTTTATGAAGTTGGCCAACTGTTACCTTGTATAGGGCTGTAAATTTTGATCCTAATGGCTGGTTGGTGAACATGATAATCTTAGGGCCAGTGGCTATAGCTCATAATAATAATAAAGAATCTGATTCTTTTAGGAAATAGGTCTTACAAGTTTATTTGATCTGACATGTTTCATTTTATAAATAGCTCTTGTACCATGAAATGTTGCCCAGTGTGATAAAACACCCAAGATGTATTTTTTCCTCTGGTAAAAACATGCCTGTTACTGCTATAAGTTTGATAGTTGTAACACTTAAAATAGTGATGGGTGTATGGCATGGCAATGATGAAAAATTAGTCCTCTGGCTACTTATTAGTCATAGATCTTGGAGAATGGGACAAAGTTAGTATCACTAACAGGACAGTGACTTGCTTCTTTCAACTAATTTTACTGGTAATTGTCTCTAGTCTTTAAATTAACGATGGACCATCCCTCAAGTAGAGAACTTTGGGGATATAAAACAGGTCTGAGGGCCTTTAACCATGGTCGGGGGAGATGTTGATATTATTCATAGAGTGTAACCTGAGGTTGGAGAGGACCACTGGGGAGCCTGTAACCAAAACTAGAAGGTAATTTCTGGGATGGATGGAGGTTCCCTTGAAGCAGTGCCAACCTAAATCTACCTCAGGTAAGTAGTTAGAGTAACCTTTTCAAGATTTCAGACCAAATGAGATAAATTGTACTCAGTCAATGTATTCCTATGCTTTAATGCTTTTGTTTTCCCTTAATTCTTAAATAAACATTTGTTCTGAAAAACTCCCATTTTTGTCTCTGTTATATTACAAGAAATTAGCATTTCTTCTGTATTTGCATTAGAATAAAACATATTCATGTGACACTCCCTGATGATTGAACCATCTCTAGAATTTCAGGATTTTTTGATGCTAAGGCAAGGAAGAAGGAATATTGTCTGAGTTTTGCTTTCAATCTTGGATCTTTTTGGAGCCTCTACTTTGTTACAAAAACAGTGCAAGGAGGATTAATAGCTTGAGCTGACCATATTTACAGCTCCACTAAAATTCAGTACCTATTACTTATGTAAGTAATTGACCTCTCAAAATTAAGCAATAATTTTTAATTTGCAATTTCCAGTAGAATCCACATTTGGCTCCATTCTTATCATTTGTTGAATTGGCTCATCTGCTCCACCAACCAAAATCTCTGGCAGTCAGAGCTCCTCCTGACCACTTCAAAACAAATCTCTGACCTGTCTTCTAAAGACATAAATATTCTGCCTCCTTTAACATGCCAAAGCTTTCATCTTTTCTTCGGACACATGGTATTCAATAGCCTCTGGGACCTTTTCATGGCCTTACTGTTGCTTCATTTCCTTCATTGAGATTTCTTATAGAATACATATTTTTTTCCCTTCATTCTCTATTGAAAAAAAAGTTACGTTGCTCTTAATATTGCCAATTTTTCACTTTTTCCCCCTTCCAGAATTTACCAATTTAAATTCTTTACTGCCTCCATTCATAAATGTTCATTTCTTGCCATGCTGCAATCTGGCTTCTCTCCTCCAGTCTCTGCCTAGTTACCCACTCAAAGATCACCTCTTAGCCAAAATGGAGGATGGATTCTCCAGCACTGCATGCCACTTTCCTCCCCTTTCACTCCAATCCATCTTAGTTCAGTAGATTTAGCTACTTTTACTTTGAGGGCCTATTCAGACTTAAATTACTTTCCATTACTTGTAGCACAAACAGTAAGTTTTCTAACATAGCTTTTAAAGAGTCTAAAGCATCACCCTTTTTAAACGATTTTAAACAATCTCGGGTGGACATTGAGTCCTCACCTATTATATAGCAGGAGTTTATATAGAGTGTAAAATACCATCTCCTTTGTCAAGGTTAGTTTGGGAGCTCAGAGTTAAATTAATTTAGCAGGTAATATTTCTCAAGTTAGTATTGATCCAAGAGTAAACATGATAACTAACTTAGGCTACTTAGACTAAAGGAAAAAAAAAATCTTACATAAGCCCCTCCCCACTCCACTCTACAGCACTGGTTCTGGGGAGTGGTGCGAGAGAGCTCAAGAGAACAAGGAGATGGGTCAAGAACTAGACTCAAGGCCTGAGGTGTAGCTTAGTGATAGGACACATGCCTAGCACGTACAAGGCTCTCAGTTCCATCCCCAGCATTGGGAAAAAAATTATGCCTGAAATGAGCTACTGTGGCCCAGTTATACAAGACAATCCCTTTTTCCTTATTAGAACATCTTGAATCAGTTCTATAAACTCTTACCTAGGTTGGTAGTTTTCCTTGATATCTGTACATACTTGATTTTTGCTTATTCTCTGCCTGGATTGTGCTAAATACTGCTTTTTAACCAAATATGAATGCCACTGTAAAAATATGAGTGAATGGTTGGGAATGTAGCTTAGTGGTAGAGGCTTGCTGAGTGTGCTCGAAGCTCTGGGTTTGATCCCCAGCTCTGCAAAGGAAAAGTAACATGAAATTATATGAAACTCATACCTGGGAATTAGTTGGTCAGAGAACTGCCTGAAATTAAGAGCTGCACTGGCCCATCAAAGTTAGGATGCACTGCTACAGCCCAACTCAAGTTGCAAAGTCTAAAAGGTCTCCTTTGGACTTTTCCACAACTTTCTTAAGTCTATCCATTGGAACAACCAGGAGTACTAAATCTTCTTGCACTAACATTTGAAATTTAACTCCCAGTAATGGTCTGGGGCTCTTTAAGGCAGTAAGAAATGTTACAGGTGACTGTGGGACATTTTTGTGCCAGATAGCAAGAAAGTTATGAAAGATGTTAGAATGTGTTACAAGGAATTAAGTTTTGAGTCAACTTTTTGTTATGGTGACCAATGCCTGACATACAATTTAAAGGAGAAAATATTTATTTTTTGCTCATGGTTTCAGAGGTTTCATTCTAAGACAACCTGGCTCTAAGGCATAAACATCCTGGTGAGAAAGCAGAGGAAATCTCTCATGGCAGCCAGGAAAGTAAAGAAAGGGTTGTAAAAGAGCTAGAGAAGAAAGGATCAAGAACAACATACACCCTGCTCTGCCTTGTCCTATTAGACCCCACTTCCCAATAAACCCATTGAGCTTTGAACACCACAAAAGATGAATCCACTTAAAAAAAGAAAAAAAAGATGAATTCACTTGATGAAGTTAGACCCTTTATGACACATTCAGTTCCTCACATCCCATCAGCTAGCAACCAAGCCTTCAACACGATGAGGCTTTTGGCTGACATTTTGGATCCTATCCATAACAGGACCAACATGAAGAGGCTGAAGATGAACATTTTAAAAGCAATAAGGATAATAATGGCAATGGATTTCACCGTACCAAATATTATTTATAAGAAGAAGCAAACTAATTGGTACTTTTTTTAAAAAATAGGGTCTCACTATATCACCCAGGCTGCATCTCAAACTCCTACACTCAAAATGATTCTCTCACCTCTGCCTCAGATAGCTGGAACTACGGACATGTCAGCATGCCTAGCTTTTTTTTTTTTTTTTTTTTTTGGTGCCAGGGATCGAACTTGGGTCCTTGTACTTGCAAGGCAGGCAGTGTAACCACTGAGCTAAACCCCTAGCCCAGCATGCCTGGCTTCATAATTGGGCACTTTTGAGGGATGTTAATAAACCATAATGGTATTTTGAAGATTATTAATTGGAGGCATTTTTCTATTATTGGGTTGTGCAGTTGAGTTCATTTTGTTTTTATTAAGTGTAAAGATTTGCTTTTTCACACTTTTTTGAATATATAAAACATTTACATGATTAAAAAGCCAAGACAATGTAAAAAATTTTGCTCAAAAACATCACAGGCCCCTGTCTATTCTGACCACTCTGCCATCCTGGGACAAAGGTGATCCAGCCTTCATTTCTTTTACCAAAAATGAGCGTGTGTGTGTGTGTGTCTGTGAGTATACTTTGATGTATGTCTGCATATATACATTCATCCTACTTTTCCTACAGGGCATATACTACCTAAACTTTTTTTTTGTACTATGCTTTCTTCACTTTACATATCCTAGAAGAAAGAGAATGTCCTCATATTTTGCTATTGTGTATTACTGCCTCAAAATTAGTTCAACTAATCTCATTTGTTTGCGGTTAGCTTATTCTCAATAGTTTACTAATATCAATAATGCCACAGAGAACTTTTTTCGTGTTTTTAGAGGTATAATTTCACAATAAATTCCTAGTTTTGCATTAAAAGTAAATGCTGGCCAACTTTCCTCTGTAAGATTTATACTCTTTTGCAGTCTCATGAGCAATGTATGAAAGAACCTGCTTATCTGGAAATCTTATCAATAGAGTCAGTTACCATTATTTTGAATTTTTGCCAATCTCTTAACATATTTTGTGCTTCTATATATTTTAAATTTGCATTTCCTTTATTATGAGTGAAGTTGAGCATCTTTTTAAATGTTTGATAGAAATTTATATAACTTACCTGTGAATTGTTTGTTCGTGCCTTTTACCAAGTTTTTTTTTAAATCTAATCTTTATTTTTATTAGCTCTTTTTATATTAAGTGTATTAACCCTTTATCTTATATATCTTGCAAATAAAGTCTATTTTGTTTATATAATGTATTATGTGAAATTTTAAAATATATATATGATTAATAATCATTTTTCATTGTACCTGGATTTTAAGACATTGCTAGAAAGGCTTTGCTCACACTTTGGCTATGAAGGATTTCACCTGTGTGTTTTTCTATAACTATGAAGTTTAAATTTTTTAGAAATGGTCATTTCTTAAAGAACAAGGTAAAACTCCTATAAGCCCTCTCTGGATTTGATCTCATGTTCATTTTTTATCCAGTTTCTATGGATTAGAGAATGCTATGGGTTGATTCTTTTGTTTATCCATTGACTACTATCATGGCAAATACAATTTTATTGGACAAATAAGGCTGACTCTGATTCTGGGGATGAATTAAGCTCTCTTTGGATCTTGGCCAGGGCAGCATGAGCCTGTACTTGGATCAAACACAGTTTTGCAGCTGCTATTCAGTCACTTTCCCCTCCTCAGTCTAGGATGGTTCCCTCTAGTGTACTGAACACCCCACCCCATGCCCAGTTATGACAAAGTCTTACTTTGTTGGTCTTGTAAACCTGCTTGTGATTTATTTCTCAGGTAGTGTGAGCTCCAAAAATTCTGTAAATCTAGTCAGGATTCTTATCCTGAGTAATGTAGACAGAACAGTTATTTCAAAAGAAAGCAAAAAACACTAGATTGTTAGCACCAAAAAGCTCCAGAGACCAGCAACCAATAATGATCAGCAATAGAAACTAGCACCCAGCAGAGTCAGCCTATGGTATCTAGCACAAGCTGGCACCAGATTGCAGCAGCTGGTAGTGGCGGTGACCAGCAACCACCTGTGTCACCTGTTAGCATCCAGCATTACCCAGTGTCATCCAGTGACATCAGGACTGCTAGCAGAGGTGCACTTTGCTGATTCATGATTTTCATCTGAATTGAGCAAAAGAACCCTAGGCTGACTGCCAATACATGGACACATGACGAATAAAGCAAAGCAGAGATTGGTGCTGTCAGAAATTGCACACAAATGTCCCATGTTGGAAGAGGTACTTAAAGTCTCAATATAACTTGACCGAGATTTAGTGGTCAGAGTCTTCCCAGTACAGAAAGTGGGAAAAAGAACACTATCTGAAAGCAGGGACATTGCCTGAAGATCTGTTAATGAGAATGTGTTGGAGCCAGCCCCAGAGCCATTCTCCCCCTCACATGCTCCACACAGAGGACTAGACAGCAAG